CTGAAGAATAACCCTCATTGGTTTTTCTTGCATAGTTTCCCAATGTGCTACAAATACAGAAACCCATTACAGTGGTTTATGGAGCTTTACAGCCAGAACCTAGCTCCAGGAATGTCTCTGCTTCCTTGATAATAGCTTAAGATAAACTAAGTACATTCTAGCTAGGTGAAGTCACTTTTGTCTTAGGCTGTAAATACACTTCTCTTTCTAACCCAAGTGTGGGATCTAACTGATATTGCTGGTTATTAAATCCCCAATAAATTATAGTCTCTGGAGCCCTGGATCTGTCTGCCTTGCTTTCTTTGGTCTCATGGTACCTTGAGGCCAGTCTTCATATACTAGACTATGGATCAACCAAGTTATGAATGTTTGTATTTATGTGTGTGTATATATATATACATATATATGTGTATATATGTTTGTATGCATATATATACACACATTTTTTTAAGCAGAGTTGGGGAGTTGGGGTTTTATCAAACATTTTGGAGATTTTTTTTCAGTCTCATTATGTAGCCCCAGCTGGTTACTGAGAGCCTCCTACTCCTCCCACATGCTGGGATTATAGGTGTGTACCACCACAGTTAAATGAAGTTTTTGTTGTGTTTTGTTTGATTAAGGTACAGGAGACTGAACCAAGGGTCTCATGTATGCTAGGCAAGCACTCTACCTTTGAGCTCTATTCTCAGCCTTAAATGAGTACTTAAAAAAAAAATAGTATAGCCGGGCATGGTGGCACACCATGGGATTAAAAATCCCAGCACTCGGGAAGCAGAGGCAGGCGGATCTCTGTGAGTTGGAGGCCAGCCTGGTCTCCATAGTGAATCCAGGCCAGCTGGGGCTACAGGGAGACCCTGTCTCAAAAAGACCAAAAACAGGCTGTAACCGCTGGCAGGGTTTGTACACGAAGTTGGGATCTGCTGAGGTTGGGGTGGTGTTGCTGGAGAGCGAGCAGTTCCTGACAGAGCTGACCAGGCTCTTCCAGAAGTGCCGGTCATCGGGCAGCGTGTTTATCACCTTGAAGAAATATGATGGTCGCACCAAACCCACTCCATGGAAGGGTTCTGTGGAGGGTGTGGAGCCCGCAGAAAACAAGTGTCTGTTGAGGGCCACCGATGGGAAAAAGAAGATCAGCACCGTGGTGAGCTCCAAAGAAGTGAATAAGTTTCAGATGGCGTATTCAAACCTGCTGAGAGCTAACATGGATGGGCTGAAGAAGAGGGACAAGAAAAACAAGAGTAAGAAGACCAAACCAGCACAGTGAAGGGCACTGGCTTCACCTAACCACAGAACTGCTATTGGCTATTGTTTTTGTGCTTTTGGTCATAAGTTAGACTTTTGGTCCCCCACCATAAGTAATTGCTTGCATGTAAGGTCATTTTGGAGAGAGGGGCTGGGATGTTCATAGGGCAGTTGTGGTAAGAAGCCAGTTTATTTTACATATTTGTTGCATGGCCGAATGTTCCTGGATTACAGCTTTAAAGAGCCTCTGTCGTCATCTCTGAAGAGCTGTGTATCATTAAACCTATCAGCATTTGCTGTCCCTTATTCCTTCTATCCCAAATTAATAGTTCTGGCAATAACTACTGATTCTAGAATGATATGATTACTTAATGGTTTTTGCCTTCTAGGTTATTGGAATCAAAACCTGAAAATTTTATAAAAAGATATGTTATAAGCAAAAAAAAAAAAGACCAAAAACAAAATAGTACAATATATATTTCAAGTGGACAAAAAAACAAAACAAAACAGTATCACATATAGTCTCTTAAGATAAATTGCCTTTAAATGTGAGCTTCCTTTCCAATGCCTTGAGGTCTATGAGATGTATCTATAAAAGTTGTTACTGTGGAAAATGAAGCTATGGGGTTCTTGGTGACTAACTGCCGTAACACCGTCCTTCTGGCTGCCAGGGAAGCTTCATGTTCTCTTTGATATCATTCAGCACCGAAGCTCTTGCAGGGTGACCTTGAAGCTGTAGGAATCCTGCCACTTCACTAGCACTGACAATGCTCTTAGGTCCATTACTCTATTAGAGCTATTAACACTGTTCATACTATTTTTTATTACAAATCCTACAAAGGGGGTTATTTCTCTGTGTTTAGATCTACATTCTAGTTTAAGGCTGTATATTCAGTTTTCATGAATTTATCTTGGAGATCCAATTATCCATGTCCATCTTTGTCATGTCTTCGTCATCTTCTAGACCCCAGCTAACTGTGCCATCTCCTACTCCTTTCTGGCCTTCTTCCAATTCTCCAACATTTGGAAAAGTTGAGAGACTTACTCCCAAGCCCATGGTGGCTGCCATCTTGAGGCGCTGTCATTGGAAGGTTGGCCCCTACCAACTTTGCATTTCCTCCTAAAATGAGTATTCTTTAATGAGCCTACTGAAGATGACTTTCAAAAATAATGCATGGGCTAGTGAGAGGCCTCAGTGCATAAAGGCACTTTCTGCATAATCCTTGCAACCCAAGTTCAATTCCTGGAACCCATGTAAAGGTGGAAGGAGAGAAATGACTCCACAAAGTTGCCCTCTTAACTTGACATGGGTGCCATGGAATGTTCATGCTGGTGCTCACATACAATTAAAAAAAAAATAAGTACATAAAAGAAACATGGTATGTAGCCCAGTGGTGGAGTGCTTGCCTAGCACATACAAAACCCAGAGTTTAATCCCTAGCACTGCAAAAAAGTATGTGTATATAATTATATGAAATGTTATGTGCAATGTTATAAATGGTTAATATTAGTAATTAAAATAGTAATTAAGATGGACTAAAAGAGCCTGTGATTGCCAACTGATTACTTGGCAAGTTGCAGCAAATGAACTGATATAGTTTGTGAATTTATTGTTATTCAGTAAATTCTGACATTGTTGAAGACACTTTATTTCTGATGGAATATGCTCATAACAGTCAGGGTTTCTCACAAAACCAGGTTGGCTTTGAACTCATGTTCCTCCTACTTCAGCCTCCCAAGTGCTACGTTTACAAATGTGCATTACAGTGGTAACCAAACACAGTAGGTTCACCTCTTGGTGAGTGTAAAGTCAAAAGATGCACAATCAAGACATAAAATAGTGAAGAAAGATTTCTTGCCTGCAACAGGCAAGGAGAGTTCGGAAGCTGTTTGCAAAGCTATGCCCTTCTTCATGAAGGGAAGTTTAGGGATTTTATTCAAGGAGCCTATACATTAATATAGTTGGCTCCTTCCTACACATACTCAGTGAAAGAATACATTCCTGAGCCTGGTCAATTTAAGGTCACAGAACACATGCGTAAAAGATTAAAGTAGGGGCTGAAGAGATGGTTCAGTGGTTAAGAGCACTTGCTGTTCTACCAGGGGACCTGAGTTTGGTTCCCAGCACTCACATGATAGCTAACAACTGTTTGTAACTCCCAATTCCAGGGGATCCAACACCTCCACACAATGCACACACTTGGTACACTTACATGCATGTAGTCAAAATAATCATACACACAAAATAAAAATAATAAAAATATTCAAATATTATTATGTGTATGAGTGTTATGCCTACATGTAAGTGTACCTGTGTTTTGCAGTGCCCACAGAGGTAAGAAGAGGATGTAGGATTTCCTGGAACTAGAGTTATAGGCAGTTGTTAGCTGTCGTGTGGGTGCTGGAATTTGAACCTGGATCTTCTACAAGAGCAGCTAGTGCTCTTAACTATTAAGCTATCTCTCCGGCCCCCACAAAATTTTTTTTAAATTTATTTTTATGTGTATGAGTGTTATGCCTGTATGTATGTAAGTGCATTGGTGTCATGCACTGCCCATGGAGGACAGAAGAGGGGTCAGATCCCCTTGAACTGGAATTATGGACCATTGTTAGCTGTGTGGATGCTGGGATTTGAACCCAAGTCTTCTGCAAGAACAGCCAGTACTCTTTAACCTCTGAGCCATCTCTCCAGCCCCTACAAATATATTTTAAAAATATCAAAGTGGTGGCCTGTCATGGTGCAGTGACCACAGTTCAAGCCTGAAGGGCTTGGGGACCCCGACGGATAGGAATCAGGACACAGGGGATGCAGAGGTTTATGTGCCAGTGCATGTTTGTTGTGAATCAAACCAAGCTTATATAGGAATCAGATCTGGAGTAACCAAGGAATAACTAAGGATACATCACTAAACAGAAAGTAACCAAGGAATAACCAAGGATACATTATGTTACTACCAAGAATACATTACTTCACCAACCGAAACTCATACAACGTTTACAGTATCCAAGATTCAGCTGCATAATATTTATAATATCTTAGATATAAGGTGTACAGTTTGTGATTACTCTTAGCAACTACCATAATTCATTATTTCTACATAGAAACCAAGCTAAGGGTGCTGAGAAACTCCCGTGCCCATAAACTGAAACAGAACTCTTTGGTCATGTTTCCAAGACTGCCAATTAATCAGGGAAACATAGCCTGTCAACTCAGACCACAGAAGCAGAGAGCAGGGAAACTCCCAGGATGGAAGCATTCTTTCTCCAATGCTTAAGTCAAGGCAAGCTGCCACAGCCTAATGCAGCAATGGCTGTGCCCATAATAATAATAGCTCCCAACAGTGGCCAATACCACCATGCCCAGCTTCTAATAAAATACTGTGGTTTGGATATATAGCACTGGTTACCTGTAGGTATTGATGGCTAGAATTAGTTTGATACATTGGTATAATCAGCTATGCTTTTGTCTATCTCTTGTATGTTTATGTTTAGTCCAAACTATTTATAGCTGGAGGCTACAAACTACAGTTCATCCTGCTCCATGGTTCTCTGGTTGAAGACAAGTTGTGGGATGGAACACTTGAACCTCTAGTAGTCCTGCCTCAGCCTCCTGAGTGCTGGGATTATAGATATGTGCAACCATGCCTGGCTGAATAATAATTAATAATAATGAATCACTGTTTACTAGAACCTTAATATACAGGCACAATATGAGACACAGATTCCAACAGAAGTAAAGGAGAATTCTGCTTTTTTAGGTGCAAAAGGAAGAGAATGTCTCCTGAACCTGATTGCCACACTGCTGGTACTACAGTTCCTGCGTACCAGGCTGGAACAAGAAGGAATGGTTTCCAAGTCAGTGATGAACATGGATGATGCCTTCATTTCCAGGTGCTTTAGATGTTGTAATTAGAAACTTTCTTTTAAATTTGTTGGTTTTTCCTCTTATATTTTTCTTTAATATTTTATCATTTTTATTTCATGCGTATCAGTGTATTGCCTGCATGTATGTGAGTGCACCTGTGTCATGCAATGCCTAGGAGGTTAGAAGAGGGCTTCCGATTCCCCTAGAACTGGAGTTAAGGACGGTTCGTAGCCACCATGTGGGTGCTGGGAATTGAACCCGGGTCCTCTGCAAGAGCAGTCAGTGCTCTTACTGCTGAGCCATCTCTCCAGCCCCCTTATATTTTTCAACCTCTTCTTAAGTCTTATAAGAAGCTGTACACAACTATCATGTCTGGGTATGCTACTTTTTCTTTATTTCTTTGTTTTTGAACCAAGGTCTCATAGTATGAGCTAGCTGACCTGGAACTTGCTGTGTCAATGAGGTGGACTTCAAATCTGAAGCAATCTTCTTGCCTCTGCCTCCCAAGTTCTGGGATTACAAGATGTGCTGCCATGCCTCGCTTGTATATGTTACTTTGTACTTTGAAGTACAAAGAGAATTTGCTCACAGATGGCAGCCTGCCCATAAGCTCCTCTGGTAGTTAGACTGCCATTGGGGCTTTTGCCTTAGACTGCATGGGAACAAATCTCAGAGTTTATGTGCATGTTGACAATGGACCCTAGACCTTTAGGATGCTGTTTCATTCTCCTCACTAGCATATGTTAATCCTCTGTGCCTTTAAAAGATCCAATGTATGACTGTTGGCCCTATTCCCAACAACTGCCTGGTCTGCCACAAGAAAAGAAATGGGAAACCCATTGCTCTATATCTAAGCATTTTGAAGTCAAAAAGCAGAGTTGGGAGTATTGCTCAGTGGTAGAGCACTTGCCTAACATGCATAGGGCCCTGGGCTCAATCCTAAGCAACAGAACATACACACACACACACACACACACACACACACACACAGAGTTGTAAGTCAAATTACTAGACAGGTCATGGTTGCACATGCCTGGGCTCAATCCTAAGCAACAGACCACACACACACACACAAACACACACACACACACACACACAGTTGTAAATCAAATTACTAGACAGATTATGGTTGCACATGCCTGTAATCCTACCACTGAGGAGATTAAAGGTGGGAAATCTTGAGTACCTGACCAGGTGAGAACCTGTCTCAAAAAAAAAAAAATCCATAACTACTTGTACAAGCAAGTTCAAGTTTAGCCCTTGGTTGATCTCCTAGCACCAGTTTGAGTAAAAACTGTACTATATCTTACAGCCAAGTGAAGACTTGAACCCAGCTCCCCACCACCACAATGCACTGATGGTCCTTTTCCCAAAGAAAAAAAAATCAGGAAGACAGAGATTTAAAATCTTTAAATTTGCCCCCATAAAGCCTACAGACTTTACATTTTGTTTCTTCATTTTTTTGTGTGTGTATATGTGTGGGTACACATGCCATAACACACATATGGAGGCCAGAGGACAATTTTTGGGAGTCGGTTCTCTCCTTCTATCCTGTGGGTCCCATCGATCTAACTCAGGTGGTCAGGGTTGGCAGCAAGAACCTTTATCCACTGATAAACCTGGCCAGTGCTAAGATTATTTTTTTAGAAGGACTCTCATTTACCCCAAATTGGTCTTGAACTCCCTATGTAGCTGAGGATGAATAGCCTTGAACTTCTGGTCTTTCTGTCTCCACCTCCTCTGAGTCCTGGGATTATAGACTTGTACCACACCATGCTCAGTCTTATGCTGGTATTAGTAATCAAGACCAGGGTTTCCTTCATTCTAAGCAAGGACTCTACCAACTGAACCACATCCCAGCCCTGTGTCCATAGAATTTTTCTTAAGAACTTTGGTATAAGGTGGCTCAGTGGATAAAAGCACATTCTGTGTAAGCCTGATGTTCAATTCCTGGGATCCACATGGTGGAAGAAGAGGACTCACTCCCAAATGTTGGAGGTTTTTTGTTTTGTTTTGAGACAAGATCTCATTATGTAGGCCTGACTGGTCTAGAATTCACTATATAGACCAGGCTGGCCTCAAACGCAAAGAGATTTGCCTGCCTCTGCCTCCTGAGTGCTGGGATTAAAGGCAGGTGTCACTGTGCCCAGCCTTTCCACATACAGACCACAACATGTGTGCATCTGCACTTACACACATACACATCATACAGCACACATATATCGCATACACAAATAATAATACAATTTAAAAACTTTGGTGTAAGGACTAAGGATACAGTTCTTTCAAAGGGCATCTGCTTAGTATGTACAAGGCCCTGGCTTGGGTCCCTAGCCCTGCACACAAAAAAAGGGCAGATAAATAAAACAAACTTTGGTGTACTTTACGTCTTGCTCACTAACAAGTTCTAGCAGATGACAAAACAACACTTCAGAAGTTTTCTGAGTTTTAAACAGACTTGAATATTTAGGAATCTTGAGTATTTGATACTATTTTGTGATACAAATTTGATATACTAGCAAAATTATACACATTTTATACTAGCAAAAGGCTCTATACTCATAAATGTTCTGTGTTATATACTAAATGTATAGTATATGTAGTAAAATAACATTTTACTAGTAAATTATTCCTGGTTTAGGCAGCATAATTAACGGATGACTCTGAGGTATTCTGTAAGCAGCTGACCAACAGGACAGTGAGTGAAGATGAAGAGGCCTCAGGGAGGGTATAGATAGAAACTGGTGGACTAGGACTAGTAGAAAACAAACGAGTGACAAGACAAAGCTTCATTATCCTAAGAGAGCAGGGAGGGCTGCTAGACACAGTGGGGACTGGGAAGTGAAGTAGGTAGGAAACTGAGAAACGTAGAGAATAAGCTCAAAATCCCCATGTCAGATTGGGAGGATGTCCTCAGATGTCAAGAATTACTTTTATTAAATGTATTCATTTTTTACAGAATCATTTCATCAATGTCATGGGTTTGATACCACATCGCATTTTACATATTCTGAATTAACAGAGACTTTTTTAAAATCTAGGAATGTTCCTTGGGCATTTGAAGACATAAAGAAAGCAAATGAATGGGTCAGAAGAACAGAAGGACAATATCCATCTATCTGCCAACGGCTTGAGCTGGGTAAAGACTGGGATACGGCCACAAAGCAGCTACTGGGAATTGAGCCCCAAGCTAACACTTCTCTTCACAGAATCTTACATTATAGTCAAGGCTGAATCCAAAGAAATTGCATTTTAAACCTTTCTCATATTTCTATTAAGAAAATAATCAAATAGTAAAATATACTTAGAATGACATTTAATTTTCTTTCCAGTGTTGCTATGAGCCCCTTTAAAGTAAATGGAAGCAGTATTGATTAACTGGCTAACAACAATAAAAATTGCAGTATTAGAGATTTTTTTTTTGTCTCTGTGTGTTAAGGTGTTGAGAGATGTTTGGATGGGTCTGGGGCTCCTTGCATCTCCCCTGCTGGAGTCTAATGGACTGTTAACTACACATTCAGCAGGGTAAGAAGGAAGTGGGTCTTTGGCTGGTGGTTCTGTTCTAGGCAGGTGCTTGTTCAGGACTCTGGTACCTATACAGTGGGCCTTTGTGCATATGTTTCTTCATGTGGCTCCTCCATCTGCAAATCTCTTGATATGCTGCTTGTGACTTAGAGAAATTTCTTCCTTGGATCTTGTTTTGGTGTCATAGTCTAAATATTCACCACCAAACCAGGTCATGTCAATTTTCTGCTATTTTGTTTCCTGACAGTTTTCTGGTTTTTGTAATTAGGACTCTGATCCACATTGGGTTCCATTTTGTGTTGTTACATTTGGTTCAGTTACATAAGGTGGCTTGAAGCATAGTAATTTGGCTAACTGTCCCTAGTTGGAAAGAGCCTAAAATGTAAAAGAATTATAAAACACTGTAATTGGAAACCTCTAAAACAATGAGCCAAAATAAATACTTTCATCTTTTAAATAGTTACTGTTTCATTCCAGGCCATTCCCCCAGCCCTTTATGTAAAATCCTTGTGTAAACCTTTTTAAACTTAATTCCAGTCTCTTGACTACTCACACCCTTCCTTTTTCTCCTCACTACCATTCATCAAATGCCCAGGACCTCCTTTCATTCACACAGTTCAAGATTTCCCTTTCTACTGCAAGTCCTGCCTTCTTCAATGGGCTACCTGTCATGGCATAATAGGACCCCATCTTGGTGGAAATCAGAAAGGAACAAAATACTAAGAACAGTTACCACATGGAGGAAAACTTATAAGCTTTGAATGATTTGGGCAGGGAAGGCATATTCATGAGGTGAGGCCATCAGCATGCCAATGAGCAGGTATAACCCTGCACAAGCACATGAGCATGCTCTGGATATGAGGCTTGGGCTATTCTCAGCCTGAAGATTTAGGTACTAGAATGAATTTCATCAGTCAGTGGGAGACAAGTAAAGACATTTGCCATGAAATCCTGGAGACCTGAGTTCAATCTCTGAAACCCATGTAAATTTGGAAAGAGAGAAGTGACTTCACAAATCATACACACACCATGCACATACACATACACAATAAATTTTTAAAAAGAATGAATTTCAAGAAAAGGAAAAATCACCTCTTAGTCACTGGGCATGTTCCAACAGAGTATCATCTTCTTAAGACAAATATGATGCATCTACAATTTACAAATTAAGGGCTGGAGAGATGGCTCAGGGGTTAAGAGCACTGACTGTTCTTGCAGAGGACCCAGGTTCAATTCCTAG